AGTGGGTATAGTACAGTGGGCGCTTGCCTTACACACAGTTGACCTGGGTCTGATTCCAAGGTCACCCAAACACTGCCAGAAGTGACTCCTGAGTACAGAGCCAGGAGTAAATTCTGAGCACTGCCAAATACGCCCCCCTGAAAAAGTTAAAATAAAAATAAGAAGAAACTGAAATAGAAGATAGTACAACTAGTAAGATGTTTGCCTTGCTCATGGTAGACCTGGGTTCAATTCCCTGCACCCCATGTGGTCCCCTGAGCCCCCAACAGGAGTATCCCTTAGCACAGAGCCAGGAGTAAGCCCTGAGCATTGCTGGGTGTGTTACCATCCCTTTCCCCAAAGAAGCTACTGAATAAGTCAGACGTAGTAAATTTAAGCAGGATCAACTATCACTGTTGAGCTGGAGAATGAAAGGAGAAAGGAGGACTTATTAGAAATGGTGTCTGGAGGAGAAATTCCAGAAACTTGAGATCTAGGTCTCTGAGAATTATGCCTGGGTGATGTTACTCTCTAAGCTGCTGGACGGGAACTCCTAGGGGTTGTGGACTTAAACCTCTAGAGAAGGAATATTGCAACATTGTCAAGTTGGTATAGAAACGGTGGCAAGAGTCTAATAAAGCTGATTCTTACAAATTTGAGCACCCAGAACCAAATACTGCTTTGAAAATGAAGAACCATTGCTAGAACAGTACTGTAAGGGAAAGGAAACAGGGAAAGAAAAAAAATTCCTTCCTCCACCCTTTTTTCATTCCCTTTTATGTTCCCTGTTGTGGGGACCAAGGGGCATCCTACAGGGTTTACAGCGGTTTAGGCTCAATGTGAGAAGTAAAAGTGGATTGAAAGGCAATTTCTTTTTTTTTTTTTTTTTGCTTTTTGGGTTACACCCAGTGGTACACAGAGGTTACTCCTAACTCCTGCACTCAGGAATTACTCCTGGAGGTGCTCAGAGAACTATATGGGATGCTAGGAAACGAACACAGGTCGACCATGTGCAAGGCAAATGCCCTACTCTCTGTGCTATTGCTCCAGTCCCTGAAAGGCAATTTCTTAGTACTCGGTGCAAGGCACTTTCAAATCTTCTTGCCTTTGCTCATGCGGTGCTCCATCCATTGGATTTCTACCCCATCTATAGGCATTCTACCAGGATCTGTCTGCTGCACATCATAGTTCAAATACAATCGTTTTTCTATAATCTTCTTTCATATTCCTCAGAATAAGTCCTTATATCAGCATTGGAATTCTCGTACAGTTTGCGAATATTTCCTTTAGAGTCTGTATAAATCTTATGACAGTTATTTTTGGAAATGTTTATTTATTTTCTGCCAAATGGTTAAGTCTTTTAGGATAGGGAGAGTTAAGACCATAAAAGTTTGGGGCTGGAGAGACAGCACAGCGGGTGGGGAGTTTGCCTTGCACACGGGTTCAATTCCCAGCATTCCATATGGTCCCCTGAGCACCTCCAGGAGTAATTCCTGAGTGCAGAGCCAGGAGTAACCCCTGGGCATTGCCAGATGTGACCCAAAAAGCAAAAAAGAGAAAAAAAAGTTAGCAAGGTTCCTGGCAAACAACAGATGTTGGTCAAGCTGTATGGAATTGATAAGAGCATTTAAATGAAGAGACTATTAGTGCATTTCTTATGTATAAAATCTTTCTAACCAGTCTTGAACTCTGTAAGAGCAGAGATCAGGCTTTTGATTTCTTTTATGTCCTTTGCAGTATTTAGTATAAGATTTCACAGATTAAAGAGCTCAATATTTATTAATCACTGAGTTTATCCATGAATAATCACAATTTGATTCAAAAGTACGTCAAAGTCTATAGTGTTAAGGAATATTTTGCTAACTATAAAGTTAAAATGTAGCTTATTGTGAAAATTAAAGTGATTAACCATAACATGGAACATAAGTTTATGAATAACAGGTAAGATTTATAGGTAGATTTATAGACATTTCCAGCATGTAATTCCCAAAGAACCATGTACATGTTGGAAAGTTCTGTGTTTGTTCAAGGAATCACACAATGTACAAGGATATGGCTCAGTAGTAAAGCTCTGGGTTTGTATGTGTGAGTTTGATCTCTGACACCACCAAAAAATAAAAATTATAAAAAGGCTTTAGGCATTACTCAGAAAAGTATCTTAAAGTGTTGGAGTATGTGTCTTTTGCAATTCAGAGGACCCTCTTGCAATCCCTGGCACCACATTCTCCCTCCCATTCCCCTCAGCAATGCCTGATGCAGCCCCAAATGCTCCCTCCCTCAGAGAGATAGCACCACCGGCTCATGAGCTGGCCTGGCTGCTGACCATGGTTCAATCCCCAGCATCTCTTATGGTCCCATGAGCACCTCCAGGAGCAATTCTTGAGTGCAGAGCCAGAGCCAGAAGTAAGCCCTGAGCATCTCATGTGTGGCCAATACCAAAAAAAAAAAAAAAAGTTAAACCCTCATCTTTAACAACTGGGGAAGTGGCTCAGTGGTAGATCAAATGTAATCTATCTTAGAGTGAAGAATGAGATGTGATGAAATTAAAACGTGATGAAGCATATTACTTTATTCTTCTATATATCCCATAATCAAAAATGTATAACCCCCAATTTATGAGCTTATTAATCTCCTCTATATCTGTTCCTTGTATATGTGTTAAACATCACAATCATCAACACCAGCTAGTAGATTATTTAAATGTTGGAAAGATACTGAATTTTAACTTAACAGTTTCAAGGGGTTGGGGGACAGAGAAGAAACCTCTGTTCAACAGCTGATTTACATTCAGGTCTAAGAAGAAGAAAAATTGCTTTTTTTTTTTGTAAGGGAGAGTGATATTTAATTAACTATTGATTTCTTCTCAATTATTCAAGGCAAGCAATTATCGATATTGATGGAACAGATATTTCCCTACTTCTGCACCCAAATGAAAGGAAATATCCCATTCAGCAATCTGCTGCCTGGAACAAGAAATGCTGAGAATCTTTAACTTTAAATGGAAACAGTTATTGGATCTGTTTATTCCATGTTGCCCCAATTAAACAGATATTTCCTGAAGTGTAAGCAAAACAAAATCCAGAAAACTTATGTGTGCTTTCCAAATTAACAATAGCCCCCCCCCTCCCCAAAAGAGGAAAAAGGGAACTTTTGTCAGTTTTGACTATCAATCTCTACATAGGGAGACTTTGTCTCATACTCGCAGGCCGCATAATTTTTTAATGATTCATAATATCGTAATTTGGGTATAGCAATCATGAATTTGTAGCCACCCAATGAGAGGGACTTTAAGTAATTATCAGAACCCCTAAAACACTCAATATACGTCAAAATTTTGAGCCTAAAGGATTTAGTAGGCCTTAATAATAATTTTTGATATTTATAGACAGCAAGCACTAGCTAACTTGAAAATTACACCAATCAATGCATTTCGAAAACATATAAGAGAACATGAGGGAATTGTGGAAAGTAGTAAAACAGAGCCCTAATGTGGACACTATTACTAGTTGAACATCTACCACCATCTCTTCTCAGTTCATTTACATACAGGACATTAACATGTTTGTTTGTGAGAAGTTTTTTTTGAAGATGCAATGATTATTGAACATGATTAATGGAAAGGTAACTATTGTCCATTGAATCATTACATGGGGGGGCACTTGACAGTAATATGAAGAGTGATTGGAGTGAGTTCCGTGTGTGTGTGTGTGTGTGTGTGTGTGTGTGTGTGATTCTTATAGTCCTATTGAGAAAATTTGGAAATCTGACCATGACATTTTTTTTTTTGGAAATAAGAAAAAAAAATGTTATGACAGGTAAAAAGCTCCCTGTTCTGCCCCCACCCCCTCGTTCCAAAATGAATCTATATATTAAGTGCTTAAGCAGCATATGTTGCTGGGAATTGTTCTTGGCTCTCTTACTCTTTGTTGTTGCTTTAATTTCCCTGGGTTCTATTTAACATTCTGCTAAATCAGTGAAACCTTGATTTCTCTAAAAGAACAGGAGACATGGAACTAATGAGGATAAACAGAATTCTGAAGAAATAAATTATTAGAGATGAAAGTTACATGACAGGAAACATGAATGCATTTTAGTCTCTGGAATTGCTTGTCTCGATTTATTAAAGCCGATTCGATTAATTGATGGACATGGTGAAATTTTGGTAATCAGGGTTTCACTACTGCATTTACTCTTCTCAGATATCAAGGTAACCTTGGACTCTACTATTGGTATTTACAAGGCGATAAATATCCTAATAGGCTGTCAGGGGCAAATGTGACTGCTCTTCCTCACGCTCCTTCCATGAAACAGCTTTTCTTTCTTCCAACCCGGCTGCTGCCTGCCCAGAGCATGCTGCCTTCTCTCTGTCCCCTGCCCTACCACCCTCCTTCCCTCCTCCCAGCCAGCCTCCCCCTTGCTCCCCCTGGCTCCGGTCTCCCCGCATGCCACTGCCAGAATCACCTGCGGGCAGAATAGCCCTCCTCTGAGAGGTTCTCGGTCATTGTTGCAATCCTACTTTGCATTTTAATTATCATTCATCCGACTTCAAAGCTCTGCATTCTTGTCTCAGGCGGTTGTCCTTTAAAAATTACAGAAAATTAAGAACCCTGGAGTTCACCTTAGGTCCCCAGTTCCAGGAGAAGAGACTACCAAAGTAGGAGCATTACATTACTGTGTATTCGATCCCCTGAAATGGACAATGTTAATATCCAAGCCTGCAGCAAAAAAAAAAAAAAATCTATATGAAAAGGATTAATATGATCAAAACAAAGGCAGCAAACTACATTTGTTTGGAAATTGGAGTCACATGCTTAGTTGGTGGGGGTGGGAGGTGGGGGGTGGGGGGTGGGGAAGAGAGAGTCCAAGATCGATCTTTTTTTGTTGTTGTTGTTTTGTTTTGTTTTTTGTTTTTTTTTTAAGCTGAAAACATGATGCACCAGATGAACTGAAATTGATTCTGCTTCTCCTCCCCGCGCCCCCGCCTCCCCCTGCCCTCTCCACTCTTCCCCCTCGTTCTGCAGCGAACGTCTGCGACAACGAGCTGCTGCACTGCCAGAACGGAGGGACGTGCCACAACAACGTGCGCTGCGTGTGCCCCGCCGCGTACACGGGCATCCTGTGCGAGAAGCTGCGCTGCGAGGAGGCGGGCAGCTGCGGCTCCTCGGGCTCGGGCCCCGCCGCGCCCCCGCGAGGCTCCCGGCCGCTGCTGCTGCTGCTGCTGCTGGCCGCCCTGCTGGCCGCGGCCCGGCCCGGGGTCTTCTAGGCGCCGGGTCCAGCCACCCGCCAGGCCTGCGCCGTGGGGGGGAGAGCAGACGGCAGCCACGCATTCGCTACGCACCCTGGAGACCCACACTCAGACACCCCACCCCGGACACCGCGGACAAGCTAGGAAGGCCGAACTGGACTAAGCCATATCGCCCAGCCGTGGACTGCACCGCCGGGTCAAGACCGTCCATCCCTGGCTCGGGAGGAGCTGGCAGCTGGTGTTGCTCTTGTCACCACCGATTCCGTTGCCAGCTGCAGACTTGATTGCCGATGGGAAGGGCTGTGATAGCCCCCACCCGTCCACCCATCCGGAAAGACAGACCCACCCGCCAACTTAGAAACAGAAACAAAGCAAGACAAACAGAAACAAACAAACAAAACACACTTGCTACTTTCACCCACCGGGTGCAGCCCGCACCCCAGCCCCGTGTGTGGACCGACCAAATAGAAGCATTCTTTGCTGGCAGCGCATTGTGGGCCTAAGAAAACCTGTTTCAAGCTGCCGTATTGGCCTGCTTCAGTCCCCGATCCCTTCCAACCTGTGCTTTAGTGAACGTTGCTCTGTAACCCTTGTTGGTTGAAAGATTTCTTTGTCTGATGTTAGTGATGCACATGTATAACAGCCCCCTCCAAAAGCGCAAGCCGTCGTACCCCGTATATCTTAGCAGCGCTGAGTCATCACAGTGCAAGCGCACACCCACTGTCCCAGAGTGGCACTAGGAAAACAGAAAGTGTATCTATCCTTTTGTATTCAAATGAAGTTATTTTTCTTGGAATACTGTAATATGTAGATTTTTTGTATTCTTGCCGATTTGTGTTATCAGACAATCTGTTTAATGTATCTAATTCGAATCAGCAAAGACTGACATTTTATTTTGTCCTATTTTGTTCTGTTTTGTTTCATTGTGCAGAGATTTCTCTGTAAGGGCAACGAACGTGCTGGCATCAAAGAATATCAGTTTACATATATAACAAGTGTAATAAGATTCCACCAAAGGACATTCTAAGTGTTTTCTTGTTGCTTTAAAACTGGAAGATTTAAAGAATAAAAATTCCTGCATAAACAATTTCAGGAATTTGTATTGCAATTTCTTAAGATGAGAGGAGCAACCGCCAAGCAGTTTCACACTCACTTTACTGATTTCTATGTGGACTAAATACATTCAGCTGATGAATTTAGTATCCAGGAAGATGGATTGATGTTCACTAGCTTGGACAACTTCTGCAAAAGATGAGACTATTTCCACTTGGGAAAAATTATAACAGCAAAAAAAAAAAAAATCTAAGTGATTGCCAAGATTATGCCAAAGCTTGTTGGCAGAGCACTAAGAGACTTTTATTTTTAAGTCATGCTATTTTCACAGATTGATGTGATCATGTGACTCCAGGGATGCTGGTCTATGTATCTTTCCAAATACAGTGTTTACATGGAGTATCATAAGAGGCAACCTGGGGAACCAGGAAAGTAGCAGGGAAATTGAGTGATTTGCAGTTTGACTTTGAATATATTCAAACTAAGTATTTAGAGGAAATATCAAAATATACAGCAGCCAGTAGACATAACTGCTGTTCCTGAGAATAAAGTTTGTTTTAAGTACCGCCCGAGGTGTAATAAATTCTTGTTTCTGCCTTTTATTAGGCCAATTACTGTGCCAGACAGCAAGGGGGGCGGGGGAGGAGGTGAGGGAGGCAGAAGAACCACTGCGAAGTTTTAAAAGCAGCTGAAACAGTGTGTATTCCATTCCTAGCACACTGCTATCTTTCGGGTTACAAATGTGTTAGCAGCAGCATCTCCTGAAATCAAAAACAATTATCAGCCCAAGCCAGAGTCTTCAGGACAATGAAGTCCTACATGACTTGGTAGAGAAATCACCTACCTACTGTTGGCATCAGGTCAAAAACCTACTTCCAGTCTGAATTCCTTACCCTGTCACCACCCTTTCTTGCTGAAATTGGGGGATATGGGGAAATATCTTCCAATAAATAGCCTGAGTAAAATCTAGATGAAGGAACAGCCTGTCTTATTGGTTTTGTTCCCAGAAAAGCCAATTCAAAGAAGGCAATAAAAGGTAAACAGGTAATAACTGTGCTGCCTGCCACCCCACGTCTAAGTCGATTGAATGTTTGTTATTCAAACCAACAGTCTCTTTTGATATAAGAAATAAGAAACGATGGAAATAAATTAGAGTTCTGGCTTAATGCCAGAGTGGTCAACCAGAAATTGAAGATTTACATTAGAAGCATAAACAGCAAATTATAATTCAGACTCACCAAAGAGTACACATGAAAATGTCAGTAGCATACATAGTTTGAGATTACTTCTAATGAGGTGGATTTATAATATTAAAATTGGAATTTAAGTTGTCTTATAGTTTATTAGCACAAACCAAAGGCATACTGTGTTATTTCTAGCGAAGATGCACTTTATCATTTTTCACTTATGGCTTTGTCCCGGTGCTCAGGAATCAGAGTCTACACATTTCAATACATGGGATTCCAAAAGCTTAATTCTCAAATTTAATGAGACCTGATTTAAATCAATTCATCTGCATTTTATCATTATGAGGCTCCTGAAATCTAAATTGATGAGGAATATCTGGTGTTCAGTGTGCTTAGATAAAGTTTTCTGAATTTCCTGAAATGATGTGATCTGCTTTTAATAAAAATTCATTTTTAGGTATATAAAAAATGGAAATGAAATGTTCTTTTGAATATGGATTCTCAAGTCCTTCTAAAGAGTCTATTCCTTTGAAGAAAGCCCAACTCAGTGGATTTTATTCATCTGCTTTCCATCACTTTTATAAAGTTAGCTCCAGCTACTATATTATGTTCTAAGAACAGGACCAGAGTAAAAAGTGGGTTCTAAGTTGTTCACACCTTCATGTACTAATTCTTACTCAGTCTCTATCTGAAGCAGTCTTTGCCTTTGCAGTGGTTATAGTCTCATACAGGAAAGTCCATCAAGCTTACCTCTGGGTAAGCATGATAATTTCTATCACAGTATTACTGAGTGAGCATAAACTTGAATCATTGTCCAAAAATTCTGCCATGTAAAAAGTGTTGCTGTTTATAGGAAAGAAATTAAGATTGTCCTGTTGCAATACAAAAAGTGATTTATTTCTGACCCTGAATAGAACCTACAAGAAAATTTAGTCCCTTAAAGGGGGGCCCTTACTGGGCTTATTCTGACCCTTCTTTTGCTTTGTTTCAATCACCAAGATTCTAAATGGCCTGATTCAGGAATCCTCCACCCACTGATAGCATGTATATGTGTCTCTTCTGAGGGCACCCAATTCCTGAAGGTAGACAACATTGTGAGTTCACATCTCTCTGAGTGCAAGGGGTGATAAAGGGTGCATAAACATGGGAGTGTCTGGTGGCTGCAGATGGATGCTGAGAGATGCCTTCAAGCAAAAAGAGGCCCCTTGCAGTAAAAATTAGAGTACAGGAATTTCCAAGAAGGGGTTGGAGGAAAAGAAACTCGAGTTAGCCCAAGGCCAGGATCCTGCACAGATATCAGAGGAATACAAAGATTCGAAAGCTGTAGAACGACCACTTGTTATGAAAGCATCTGTGTCAAAGTCACAAGATGATACATATTTTATTAAACACTCTTATCTTGATATATAACATTTATATATTTCGACATGTGTCATATCACTCCCATTGGACATACCACTCTACCTGGACATTGACTGAAGGGGAATACTGTATGAGGTCCCCCACAATTAAGTATGTAAACCAATACAAATTCCTCACTAACAGAAAGACTGGGAGAAGGCCTCTGGGTCACAGTCCATTGATTCCTATAATTAAAGCTCTGTTTCTCCTCTCTGACTCAGTCTTACTAGAATATGAGCAGTTTGGGGTGGATAGGGGCAACTGCAGGAAAACTCTCAGATCACATCTTTTATCCCATTTCCTTCACTCGACTCCACCAATAATAATCACTATTAGAATGTTCAGACCTCATGTTCTGAAATGGAATGCTCTGTACTATATAAGAAATGGGATTGCTATATTGTCCCTTATGTTGATTACTCAATAAAATACCTGCTTGATTGCTCATAGGATTGTACAGAATGTGTGGCCACTTTTAAGTACATGTTCTGTATAGCTGCTACATATGAGACTTGGTGTATTTATGATCTGATGTGATTTAAAGTTTCAGTTTCCAAAACTTAAGCTAGGATTTCTAATCATTTTAACCATCTTTATTTTCAGGCTTCATCGATAAAGGTAAAGATGGTGGCAGCAACTAAGCTACAGCATAGAGCAATGTGAATGAATAACCAGGTAAAACTCTAGGATTTGGGTTCTTTTTCAGAAGATCAAATGGACAACTCTAATGATCTATAGGAATAAAAATATAGATGAGGAACATCCTTAGAGTTTTGATCCTCATGTTTGATAGTAAACATTTCTGTTTTAGCCTCAGAAAGTCAAGACTAGATTCTAATCAATAATCTTTCTAAAAAATAGCAAATATTCATCTCGCACAACTATTTGACTGTTCTGGCCATTTTTATATAAAAGATATTAGAATATAAATATTAGCTTTACTTTTTTTACACTAAACATAGTTTTTTACACTAAACATAGTTTTTTATTTCCCTTTAGTTACCTACAATAGATGCCAGCAAATTCCCAGCATATATTTCACACAAACATAATATGATGTTGGGAAGAATTAAGATGCCAAGATTTTGAATTTTTACCAAAAATATTCAGAACATAGAGAACTTTTAGTCTTCATAACACCTGGTAAGATGTGAGTCACATTTTTATTTTGTGTTTGAAGGATCAAATAATTAAGGAATAGCCATATTCCTGATATAAATCATTATCGTATTTAACTAAAAATGAGAAAATAACATCTGTGAATTTTTTTAATTTAATATTTTCAAATGTAGTTATTTGAGATCTATTATGTAAGAGGAAAAAAAAACAGTGGGACTGAAAACATAGAACAGGGGTTGACTTTTACATTGCATGCAG